CACAAGAGTATGAACTGTATGACTCCACTGCCATGAAGTTCAAAGAACAGGCCAAATGCATGTACGGTGGTTGTCTGAGGGTATGGGCTGGTAGGAGTAGGATACCCAGGGCACTTAGGTTGTATGTTTCTGTGTGGTCTGAATTTTATATAATGAGCATGCATTATTTCTGCGAACGCTAAAACATTAAAGACACTTACAAACAGGATTCTCAGTTTACAACATATATTCCATACAGTTCAATTCAGCAGCAGTTACTGCATCTAATGATAGGCCCTGGGCTGGGTCAAGAGGCAGCTTCTGTGGGGGAGAAGAGCAGAGGATGTGCAGGCAGGGAGACAACCTGCTGTGTGGCCTTGGGAAAATCACCTAACTTCTCTGAGCCTCACTCTCCTCTATTTAAAACAAAGACATGACAGTAACTGTGAGGTGCAAATGAAGGAACATATGTGGAGTTCTGGGCATGTGGTCATCACTGGGTACCATCTCACACAACCCCTGAACAGCCCCACAGGGTGGGTGCTGTGACTATCTCCATTTTACAGAGGAGGAAACTGAGGCTCCGAGAGGTGAACTGGAAAGTCCAGATCACCCTGAAAGTAGGTGGTGGAGTCAAGATGCAAACTCTGTCTGTCTGAGTCCCAGGTCAGAACCCCCCCCAGTCCTGCCTGCCCTCCCACCGCTCAGCCCTTCCTCGTGTCCAGACAAGAGTGTCACTGTCCAGACCACCTGACGCTCATCTTTACAGCTTATGATTTGTCAGTTGTCTCTCCCACTAGAAGATCAGCTCCATGAGGGCAGGGACTTTGTTTCGTTCACTGTCATATCCCAGTAACTAGAACTGTGCCTGGCACAGAAGATGGCTCCATTCTGTTCGGGATAGACTTCTGCCCGCAGTGCTATCTGTGCCTCAGTTTCTCAATCTGGAACATGGTACCTGCTGCTCTGCTGACACGAGGTGGAGAGGATTCAGGAGGAACACGCAGAGGTGGTCCTTCCTGCCCCTCTTCCTCCCTCAGGAGGGGCTGGGCTGGCCTGAGGGGCCCGAGGTGCACCAGTCACACATACACTCGGCCCGAGGACATGGGGTGTTGTGAGAAGGTGCCTCTGACACAGAGCCACAGGGTGAGGGCTGGGAGGCCCCTTGTTTTCTGACAGCATCCCTGTAGACTGGACGAGAAAGCAGAGGCCCAGAGAAGGGAAGGGACGTGACTTGGGATGCACAGGCCTCAATGGCGGGCCTGGGCGGTACAAGAAGCTGGGTGTTGTCTCCCAGCTCAGGGCTCGTCTCTCCCTGAGCACAGGGGACACCAGGGACAGGCCCCATCTGCTCCTCGTGGGTATCAGCCCCCATTACAGTGTCCTGGCCAAGGGGAGCCAGAGTCTACAAGGCTGAGATTGACATCAGGCCAGGCAGGCTCTGACTGCAGCCCTGACCTCCCAACACAGGCGCTGTCAGTCAGGACCCGGGCTCCTAAAGCATCTGCTGGGACACAGAGGTCTGACCCAGGGGGGGAGGCCTGCGAGAGGCCCACGGCCTCTGGGTCCTACCGGCTGCCACTGACGGTCAGGGGCCTGGCAGGCACCAGGTCTGGCTTCCCAGGAGCCAGATGAGGCTGATAGGAAAGGTGGAGCTGGAGGCAACAGGTGTGGGAGCCTGGGCGTGGGTGCTGGTACCACAGCGACTCTGCTATTAGATTCCACGGTGGTTCAGGGGCCGCAGACCCAGGGCCCTGGGGCCCAGGCCTCCAAACCAGGTAAGAATCCTGGTAGGTGTCTAATGCCCACATCAGCCTAGGTAATTACCAGTTAAAACTGCTCTATCTGAAAGAGTTCTACTAGTGCAGTGAGTACATCAGAATAAAGAAGGCCCTTCTGACAGCTGGCTGGGCCCGCCCACAGACTGGGCTTCCCCTGAACAAAGATCTGCTTGTTAATCTCACAGCATCAGAGGCCTTAGATCTTAATGAAACATGCAGAGGTGGCGTGGGAAGAAGCTGGGATCTGGAATCCACAGCCTAGATGATGCCACGGATGTGCTGTGTGGCCCTGGGCTGAATATTTAACCTCTCTGAGCCCATGAAATGAGGCTGGTAAAACAGCATCACATGTTGCATGGATGAGGAATCATAAAGCTATGGAACTTCAAATGCTAATTTTTATTTTAAAAATAGGTAGACCTTCGGTTGGCTTTTAAAATCTGTTTCTGGGTTTCACATGTGTATAAGATATGTGGGGACATTCCTGTCATAGCCACACCAAGGCTGGGGAGCAGCTGGGAGGAACTGGGGTCAGCAGTGACCAGGGCCAGGTTCACCTTACAAGAGAGGGGCTGACTCTAGGCTCCTCCCCCTCCGCCAACCAAACGCACAACAACCCTGAGGATGCATCAGTCACTAGGATCCCCATTTTACAAGGAGGGAGCTGAGGCTGAGACAGGGAGGGACTTGCCTAAGATCACATAGCAGAGGCAGGAGAGGAACCAAGTCCACCTGAGCAAAGGGCACTGCTCGATTCACAGCAGCAGCTCCCACCAAGGCTGTGCACGCCCTGACCCAGGGGATGCTGAGGGAAGCAGAACATGGGCTGGGCGGTGACTCACTCTAACGGATGGCTCCCCTGGGGGCATTCTCGGGGTGACTGCATCCACAGCTCTTCTTGGTCCTAAGCCCGGGTCAGCTTGTCCCGAGGACAGAGCTCCAGCCTCAGGTCCACATATGGTCTTCTCTGTCCCCACCTCACCCTCTAGACAGGAAGGTGGCATCCAGAACCTACTGGCCCAAGTCCTGTGCCGGGCACTGGGCTCTCAGCAGAGGTCAACAGCGGCCTCCTGCTGCTCGCTCCCCCACCTCAGCCCACCACCAGCTCTGGGTTGGGGGGGACAGAGGCCTCCTTGGCTGTCCCCTCTTCCTGCAATAGTGTAGGAAGCAAAAGCCTAAGGATCCCAAAAAACCTGGTGCCGCTCTGTCCCCTGGGTTCCTCTGCCTAAACCCCTCTGAAAGCTCTCTCCACTCTGAAAGCCAGCCCTCCTGACAACAGAAACATTGCCTCCTTGAGCACTGAATGTAGGACCAAACAGTCTGGGCCTGTCCTGGCCACGTAGAGGCTGTGCTATCCTGGGCATGTCACTGTCTCTCTGAGTCTCACTGTCCTCACCTGGGAAATGGGGGTAAATATCATGGCTGTTAACAGGGTTGCTGGGAGGATTAAGAGCGATGCTGTAGGTGAAGGGAGGCTGGTGGCCTTGGCAAGGGTCCTCTCCTGCTCTTGGGCCCACAGTTCTCCCCACCTCGGGCTGAGCTGTAGTCCTTGGGTCCCCAGGTCCAGCCTGGTTTTGCCCCAGCCCAGACCCTGCCCCTCACTGGCCACAGGCAGGAGGCAAAGCAGATAGGGGACAAATATTCACGACTGTACATTAAAGAGAGTTTGGTAATGGAAAAGGCTTCTTTGAGAACTTTAAGGGTAAATGGCTCCACGATTTGGAGTAAAATTTCTGCAGAGGAAAAGCTGGGCTTTTCCTGGGAGAACATCTTTGCCCACTGGGTCATTCCACAGTCCTGGACACTCCTGCCAAGCCAAGCCATGTCCCAGGTGTGGGCCCAGGGTGACAAGACCACAGGGCCTGCCCCACTGAGCTGAGTCTCCTTGTCCACTCACTCCCTGACAGCCACACCCACCTAAGGCTCTGGGGCCCTGGCCCAGGGAAGAGGCTGCT